TGATCAGATAGGTGCATTGACTGCCAGGCTTTTGATCAGTGAGAGCTTGGTATAAAATAGAACTCTCAGTTCATCAGTCGGTCTTCATCCAAATCCCCACCTGCAGTCACAAGCTTTGAATACTGACAGAAAGAACTAGAATACAAGTGACTGTAATGAAATTTCTTCTCTGGGTGGTCGTCTACATTAAATAAGCTTATTCTGGAAAACCTCAGCTTTGCTCGTCTGCATTGCAAAGATCCAGCTGAGATGATTCAGGCATCTCATGAAAATGCCAGGCTCTGTTTGGAGGCATCCTGAGGCATGACGAACTGGGAAGACACCCCAGAACAGACTGAGGACACACTTGAGAAATTTGTTTCTCATCTGGCTTGGGAGAGATGAGGGATCCCCCCAGAGGAGCTGGAGGAAGTTGTTGGAGAAAGGATCATCTGAATGACCATTTTGTCATCAGTTAAAAAAAGACGATGGATTTTTGGTTTCTAAACTTTACTGACAAACTTTTAAACCTTTCTACAACCTTACTGTCTTATACTGTAACTTAGCTTTGTCTTTGCGTGTCTTTTCAGTGCTTGTACTCTGAAATTGATTCCTTTCTGTCTGGAGAACAGAGCATGCCCTGTCTCCGCCTCTGCAATCTCTTCTCCTCCTCTATATTGACAAACCAAGGGCAAAAATCAAAAAAGGCACATTTTTATTGTCCTTGTTTGTGCCATCAAACCAAAAGCAACCTGAAAAAGCTGTTTAGATTAAGTTCCTGTTTTATATCATTAGATTGAGGAGTAAGATTAAAGTGACATACAAGCACTGTCATTCCTCCTCACAATTGAACACTAAATCTTAAGCTGTGAAAACCTCAGCAGACTCTGATAAAATATTTTATTCTTTTTAGCTACACAAACAGAAGATATTTTCAGCTGTCCTACTCATGAGATGCAATAATTATTTCTCACTCAACTCTCAGCAATCTGCCTGCTCTTTCTGGATATTTACATTTTAAAACAGGGTCACCTCTAAATTAATGAAAGTAATTAAAAATGCCCTAACAAAAATTGGATACTAAATCGTATTTCAGCTCAGTTTATATAGCAAGCCTTATAAATGTAGAGCGACCTTTCATAACTTGATCATGTACTCATTTGGATTAGTTAATTGGTATTAATTTGGAATTAAACCTTCCCTAAAGTTTTAATGTGAAACCAAGAACTCCTGCAGAGACACGAATTATTGCTCTACCACAAGAGAAGCTTTTGTCTGATAAAGAAAGAAAGTTTCATCACTCTTAAAATGTATGAGCTGTCACATCTTAAAATGATATTGTGAGATAAAATTTAGCACTCTCATAAACGTTGTAGTGACAGTAGAAATAAGAATACTGCTGTGTGTGGTTCTCAGGTTTAGAGTAAAAGTACACAGCAGAAATTGGTTTTCTCTTCTCACAACCTATCACATAAACTTCATTAACAAACAAATTACAGCAATGAAAAATAAAAAATTTGTGTTGGTACAAAGACTTCATTACTCAAATATTTATCAGCGGCAGCTCAGAAAACAACGAGGGACGAACCTTTGATTTCCATTAAACTGCTGATAATTATTCTTCATTAACTTCTTTCCAAATTAGCAGAACAAACACAGGACTCCATCAAAAATTCAGCAGTACCTGGTTAATTTTGAGTGTTTTTTGTGAGCACAGGCAGCCTGCCAATTACTTATGAATCTCACATGCTCCAATGTGTGTGTGTGTGTGTGTGTGTCATCGAGAAAGAGATGTGTGTGTGTGTGTGTGTGTGTGTGTGTGTGAATGCATGGAAGCCAGTGTGTTTCACGTGTGTCTAGTGTGTGTCTGTAGAGTGAAAGGAAGAGGCAGACAGGTGAAAAGAGAGACAGAGAAAGAGCGAGACATGTCGCAGCACCCTCAGGACGTCTCCTCTTTCTGAGCAGCTGTTGTCTGAGAGCAGGAGGCAGCATTGCGGCGCCCTGTCAACTCCTTCTCTCACAGAAGCCCCCGTGCATGCAAAACAGGCTCAGGCTGCCCTCTCTCTCCTTGGCCACGTTTTTACACCCCTTTTTGTCTCTGTATGTAACAGACACCTCCTCATTTTCTCTCCCCCTCCCCCTGAAGCAGAGTCTTTATTCAAATCAATTTGAAGCTGTCAAACGTAGTGCTCAGCGATAGTAACAACACATACAAACACAACACACAAGTGAGACACTTTCATAGGAAGGAACATTTCAAGGGCAGAGACTGATAAAGAAAAGAAAATATATGGTTGCTTTTTTCAGACCAGATTGATTGTGAACTCCTAGATGCATCAATTCCCCCGTACAGGAAAAATAAATGAACATGTTCACATCCAGCCTTTCAAACACCAACATTCTAATTTACGTTCAGTTACCGAAGTCCAATAGTTTACAAATGATTATTTTAATAGTTATTTTTCCCACTACCTTTCGCTGACAATGATTGGACTTGTTTTTTATAGTCCAGTCAATTATTTTATAATATCACTGGCTATAAAAATATTATTTTTCGTCGCTGTGTAAAATATAAACTAGTGTAGTGGTACTTATGTTTAAGCCACTTAAAAAGCTCAGACCCCCCAGACCTTGAGAGGCCCCAAAAGCCCTCAGTCACTTTGTATCAGTCGGCTGTAAATAATTTGACAGGTGTCAAATTAATTTTGAAATTGGCACCACTAAAAACAATATTAATATCAATAAAATGTTTTCATTTTTAGTTAGCTCATATATATATTGCTAAATAAAAGTAATGTGCATTATTTGCTGGATGACACAGAAGACATGGTGCCAAGTAATGTTCCATTATAGGAGTAATGGATTAATATGCAGGTGTGGGGAGGAAGGGAACTTGTAGGGACTCACTGATAAGTTACTGTCCCACTAACTGGTTAATCAGACCATAGTGCACAAGCTAATGCTTTAATAGTGGTTGCAGTTTATCGGAGACACACAAATTTAGCATTAAAGGCAGATGAGTGTATCTTGGAGGGTGGTATGGCTTGCTGATTGACTGCTAAAGCCTAGAAAGTGAGAAAGTCCATGAATCCTCAGGTGTCATTATAGTATTGTATAGGAATGTTACACACTCATCTGAGTCTAAGAGAAATGTAGTTGTAATCATATTTGGTGTGTGGTAATACAGAAAATTTCATGAGATGGTCTCTATTTTACATCATTGGCAGTTAACGGTGAAAGAAGAATGAAATAGTAAAATAAGATGGGGTTTTTTTAAAGCAGTACAATAGTGTTGTTCTTATGATGCCTGTTGATTCATCATTAGCAGCGACAGCTATTCCCCATTACTGGAGGATGAAACAGCTACAGGCTGCAGAGCTTGACAGCTCTGGAAACAGCTGCACACAGGTTGCGATAAGCTTACTATAATGTAATAGAAACCTACACATTGCCTTGCCAATGATTGGGAAAGAGAACTGACAGTATATTGTTTATGACAACAATACTGAAAATGAGTACCGTGTGATTAACAATGCATTTGACACAGTCATTGTAGAGGGAATGACATTATGTAGAACCATAAATGTTACCCTTAAATGACTGAGTGCAAACACAGCATAAATGTGCACTTTAATACATATACATACATTTATACAGCTATGAAGACATTCATTTATATGATGCATTCCTTTTCCACTTGCTTTAACCTCAAGCATCAATGCTAAGTGCTTAACCCAAACCCTGACCTTAACCCTAAAAGTCTTAAGTCTTAACCTTCAAATGGCTATTTGAAGGTGTGAGGGTCCAAGCAAAACCTCCTTAAACACACACACACACTATATATTTTTTGTCTCTGTCCTGATGAAAACAAGACAATCTGACTGATATTATTTAAATCAGAAACTGATGTTCCTGCAGTTCAGTTGTTATACTACTGCCACCATGTGGTGTTCCTTAGTACTACACTGTTTTCAGTTAATTAAATACGCATTACAGTCCTGTGGTGTACATGAAGAAATGTATTTCAGTGCAAAGCCAGGACAGCCGTCTCCAAGGAGTGATCATACATTTCTTGCTTTGTCAAGTGTTGTTTTAAAACATGGTGTAAAATATCAAGTAGGTGTGATCGTGTGATCAGTGCCAAGCAGAAGTGAGGAAAGTCCTTCAGTGTCAAGTGTAAAAGAGAAGTCTATAATTGTGTTAGAAGCAGGTCAGAGGTTTAAACGTCCTACTTGATAAAACACCATTTACTGTAACTACCACAAATATTTCAACTTGTATTTTAAAATGCATGAAATCACATTATGTCAGAGTTTATGTGGATTTTCCAGGAGTTCAGCATTGTGGAAATTGTGAAGATGTCCAGAATTTAACATAAGGACTTGTGGCTGCACATTTTTGTTGTGAATGAACTTATACAGGTGGAGCCACCTGTGGAACTGGCAAGATTTAATGGGTTAAACTGGGGTTGAGAGAGAGAGAGCGAGACAGAGAGAGAGAGAGAGAGCGAGAGCGAGG